AAGTGTCTGTTAAAAGAAGAAGCACCTTGTATCTGCGGAAGTGCATTCAAATAGCAGTGATACATTAGAGCTGGGCAGGATCCTTGGCATCCAGACTCTATGGACAACATGCAGCTAGCTGTGAGGGGCAGAGCGACAAATGAAGGAACCATCAAGTGATTGCTGCCAGGCTCCTGCCTGCTGGGAAGGCATCTGGAGCCGCCTAGCAAGGGAGGCAGATCAAAATCTTCCAGTGGGAAAGGAAGACGTGAGGCCCTCTTGGGAGAGATTCTGGGATGAAGGGGCTCTTCAGGAAGACAATGGCATGCTGGAGGAGCTGGACGCTGCTTGGCTTTGATTCCCCGCTGTTTCCCAAGCATCTGTTGTGAGAAGCGCTTGGTGGACCCATGCACAGTTGTCAGGCTGGAAGACTTGCATCAGAAGCATTTCTAGTTGCCCTTATTTGTTCTCAAGGGAAGTCACTATAGTCTGGGGAAGGTATGGTGGCTTCCAGGGATAAACTCTACCACTTGTTGTTATTCATTGCCACATCCAGGTACGGCATACTGCAGACCACTGACCCTCCTCATCCACAGTAAGAGCTGATGCCCTCTCAGAGAAAAGGCCCATTTTTTCTCCATGCTCTATCTACACACTGGTTCACGCATGAGTTATTTATTCTTTGTCAAGTCAGATCTACAAAGCATAGCCTCTATCTTGCCTGCATGTGCAGGGTCCTCGTGCTCTCAGCTGTGCCTGCAGATGACAGAATGCATTCACTCAAAAGACAGTGGCTTGCACTGAGTGGGAACATGGCCATGGAAATAGGGCAAGGCATCCTTGTCTACCTAGCTGCTGTACCTGTCAGGAGCCCTGAGGCTCAAACTCAGGTCTTCCAGGCTTGTGGGGTGAAGGCCTGAGCTGCACTGCCACCAAGCATCCAGCTGGGTGCTGGACCCAGCCCAGCTTGGGCCCTCTTGTGAGGCTCCTGATGTAGGAACGTGTGACACAGGGGCACCAATGGAAACCACATGCCTTCTTTGATGGGAGGGCTATGAAAACCCTCCGACTTCTCCTGGGGCCCTTGTCCTGGCACGAGTGTTTACAGACCTACTATACGGGACCCTCCTGCTTTGCTCCAGCCTCGCCCTAGTACCTCATTTCTGCTTGCCCTGTTTTGTCTTTTGAACTCTCTGGCTCCTGACTTCCAGCCCAGGCTTGACTACAAACCCATCCTGACCCCCAGCATGATCCCTTGTACTTGGACTGATACCTGGTCTTGTGACCCTTGACTTCTGATATTGTTGACCCTTGGATACTGAACCCTGACCGTCCACATCTGGGTCGTACCCAGGAAAGTACCATCCTTCAGGGCCCTTCACAGGTGTAACTTAGACTAAGGAGTGCCCTCAGCAAGTCGAGGAAAAGATGGATTAAAATCTCCCTTCTCCCCACTTCCTGATTTGTCCTGCGTGCTCCTGCGGTACATAGCGGCAATGACTGCTGTGTCTGATCTCGGCAATCAGCCAGTCCTTTTCACCTTTACAGAGAATTATATCAGACCCTAGCTGTTCCTCAAGCACTTATCTCTTATACTTTTTTCAATGACATTGAGAGATTTAGCTAGATAAATGAGCAGCTTGACCATATCGGACTAATCTTGCCTCTTCTACTCATAGTGGTCAAGATTCCCTGTCTTGGAAAAATGGATTTTGCATAAATGTAAGATTAAGCTGTCCTCTCCCTACTCATTGAACCAAGAAAATAAGGGCCTTCGGGGCACTTCTGATTTGTTTTTTTTTCCCCCTTAACATTCTTGGTTGAATGGCAACATCTCTCTTCTGCTCCGGTCCAGAAACATGCTCTCCTCACTCGCTGGCTCTTTCGAAATCTCCTATCCACGTCAGTACTGCTTGTTCTGGTTAATGAAACAGGCCCCAGCAGCCATTTCAATGGCTTCCTCCTCCAAGCTCAGCCACACTCCCATCTGGAGTCACTTGTGCTGTAGCCTTGATGCCTTCCTGTTTCCGTGTCCCGCATCTTTTCTAAACTTTACCCCTTGTGGCCATGTAAGCATAAACATGCCAGCAAAGCCCACCATGCCCAGGTATCACCACCTATTCTGCCTACTCTGCCTGCCAGTCTTGACCTCCATTCATACCTATGTGCCTTTGGTACCCCAGCCGTCACTGCCCTCCTTCCTGTAGCCAAATGTACTGCAGCCTCATACGACGATGTGAATTTGGTCCAAAAGTCTACTACCCACTAGTTAATTCTCCCTCACCGTGAAAAAGGAGGAGAATTCATTTTGCATACACTCCTCGCCCTTTGGGCTGTTCTGCACTCAGGTTGGCTCCTGTATTGCGTTCTGCGCACCCTCTGCTTTCCCGGTTGGCCAGCAGAGCAGGAGCATTATGCCCCTCCCAAGATGCAAAGGGTCACAGGTATCTGTGATAGCAGTTACACTCCAGTTACCAGTTGTAGAAAGAGACAAACGCTAGATTAATACTCATGCCACTTAGTGAATACACCCCTGTATAAGAGTGATGACAGAACCAGTGTCTTCAAACACGCCCTCTAAAAATAAAAAGCCTTTTTCTTCTGCCTATTTGCTATTCATGCTGCACACTGGGGGGGGGGGTGGAAACTAAGAACTTCACTCTACAAGTATCTGAGCATTTGTCAGTGTGTGTGTTTCTATTTATTGTGCTGGTGCCATGCTGGTCAAGAATGCACTCAGCCTCTAGGCTGTGAATCAAATTTTGTTGGTATTCCCATGTGTTTTCCCTAACCATGGACCATAGCTACCAGAAGATTTTAAAAAACCCGGGAAATTAGGCAAAGAATGTACAAATGAGTCCATAATTGTGTCAAAAATTGTACTCTACCTGGAAGCCTCTTTGTTGATGAGGGATATGGTTCAAGTGCGTTGTTCGTTAGTTAAGCAGAGCAGCTAATTTTAGCACCGATGAACTCTAGCTCAGGTTATGTAACATTTAAAGTTAACTAACTGGACAGAGGTCATTTGCGGTTAAGATTTCCATCCCCAATTTAGGTGAGAGCAGCAATTATGATCTGACTACTGTCAGCTGGAACAAAAATGTTACACTGTGGTAATAACAAAATAATCGTCCATATGTACCGGCTCCAGCTGTAGCAGTATGGACTCTGCATTATAATGACGTGCTGTGGGTGAATATGAACTCTCACTACTGTAGAAAAACAAACATCATTGCACATTACATTTAGATACAGCATGCTGTTTTTGCCAGGGTGCAGAAACCACTACCAGTGGCTCAGAGTGGCTGATAGCAGTGATGCAGCAGATATTCATTCCTTTTGCTCCCTTCCCTGCCCTCCCCCACCAAAAGAAAAAGTCATTGGATCTCACGACGGCACTGCAGTTTGATTCAAAATTCATCTTCGGAGCTGTCAGCTAAGAGCATTACGCGGTCTTGCATGCTGTTAAATTCCCTCTGCTAGGAAAGAAAGAAAAGGAAAAAAAATACATTAACTGGCTTTTAAATACAAGAGGGAAACTTTGAATTCCTTTCCCTGCCCCCACACCCCCAGTCAACTCAATACAGTCTGGAGTATCAGCGCTGTTCAACCCAAACAAAAGAGCCTTCACAATCAAACTGGTTTTTACTGTATGGACCGCAGTGGTAACAAGAGGGTGGTAGGCAGCATATCAAGGGTTTCTTTCCAGTAGTTATACCTTTCTTTTATGCCTTTTAGAGCCATTTCTCCTTCGGCGATTCATAATCTTAATGCTGTAGAGTGCTCCCAGGATAAAAAGGGCTCCGGCTATGCCGACCCCCACAGGAACCAGCATCCCAGACATGTACCCTGCCTACAAGAGAAAGAGACAATCACTGCAATACTAAAGAGACAACCAGTTCAGAGCTTTTTCCACCAGCCTAGGGCTGCAATGCATTTATATGCTTTTTTTCTTCTACAGCATATTGTATCTGGGGTCACAGCACACCTGGAAAACATAGCTATTTATAGGAAGTTTAAAAAAGCAGATTGAAATAAATCCTTTGGCATTTGGATATGCACATTTATTGCGCTACCAGACTGGAGCAGATGAAGTCTGGCATCCTGTCTGCAACAGTGACCAGGAAGAATGCATCTGAAGATGCCGCAGGAGTCCTGCAAAAAGCAAATGAGGGGCAAAAAATGCTCTGCCCCTCTTCCAACCATTTGTAGAGAAAGCAATATAATTTACTCTCTTTCCCATCTCTTTGCACGACTGCCGGTCCTCGTGGACACCTGTACTGTGCTCAGCACTACAGCACTAGAGGATTAGGGCAGGGTAAAGGAGTTCCAGAAAAATACCAACCCTGCCACATCTCACAGGTATCAAATCCCACCCCACCCCTGCAGAATCAAACCTTGATAGGATCAGGTCCTGGTAGGTTAAAGTCACCATTGGCTTACATGGTCACAGCTGAATTCACCTGTGGATCTGAGTGATGAATTCGTCCCCATGACTTTTAAAGGCTGACTGGGGATTTGAGATTGAACAACTTCATTCACTCCAAGCCCCAAACCCGCCACATTCCTGAGGCTGCGCCTGAAGAGTCGCAGCTAAAGACTCGGGATTCCC